ACCATGATTATATTTCCCGTCTCGTCATCCAAAATATAGTCCTCTATAGTCTAAAGGATGCCCTTCCGCCTTTTCTTCAATTCCTTAGCACAGGTTTAGTATTGCTGGGCCTTTTATCCTAACTGGTTGTGATCGTTTATGGTTCTTCCTTCTTCCCTCAGCAGCAGAGCCTCCATCCCCCTCTCACCTCCTCTGGAACTGGGTTTGGATATTTAAACTACAAAGGCTTTAAATGGGGCACTCCCAAGCYCCCGGAGCTCCTGTGCATCTGCACTGATATTGCAGTCTCACCAAGCAGAGGTTTTTCTAGCTTAAAGAGCTTTCTTGATACTCCTGCAATTTTCAGGATTGCTACAGAGCTTTGTATATCCTGTGTTGTAAGACAGATTCACAGTGCTCATACATGATACTCACAGTCTTTGGCCCAGTTTTACTGCTTTACTGAGAGTATGGGTAACAAATAAATAAATAGGGTGACAAGCGTGGAATTGAAATGAAAGTATCATGCTTGTCCAGTATGTCCTTTTCCTCCCTGCTCCTCTTACTGGTTTCAAGGATCCTGCTTATAGACCAACAGCACAAGCTCTGTTGCACTGACTGGACAGAGTGCAGTAAGGATATTGAATATCAGGAGCTTTGAAGATACTGCCTGCTGGCAAAGCTAGCACTGAGCAAGAACTTTTTGGAGACACAAAGTTCTGACATTTTCAGCAACATAGGGTCTGATCACTCTAAGATGGAGACTGCAAGAGCTGGGACTAAGGAGCAGCCTCTGCAGCTGGGGAAGCTGCAGCTCACAGGGGAAGGGGGAAGGCTCCTTCCCCACCAGCTCCTGCCCATCTTCATCTCAACCCCATGCAAGGAGGCTTTGTACCCTGCAGAGCTGCCTAGGAGGTACCTGGAGGAATACATCCCTCCAACAGAGTGAAGGCACCCGGTGGTGGTGGTGGTGTCCTAACAGAAAYTCCCTGCCAGTTCTGCTCCAGGACACTTGTGAGAATTGGGGCTGCCCATCCCTGTTCCTGAAAGTTCTCTGAAAAGTGGATGTATCATTACTGTGAATGCTAGAAAGGCAATGGAAGTTGGTTATTCAGGTCAGAACTTACACCCCTAGTCTACACTGCTTGCTTTGAGCCTTTCTCAGCCTGTGTCACTGGGTCTCTGTCCAGCGGCTTTCAGCACTACCTGATGCTTTGGAGAAGAGGACGAGACAACCCCTCCTGCCTCCACTGTGAATTTGTTTAGCTGACAGCATTAATAAGCACAGATAGTGTTGTATCTAACAGCAGTCTGGGAAAGCAGATGACAAATTGTGCACATGTGGTGTATCCCAGCAATGCAGAGCAGCCAAAAGAAAAGCAGGTGGGAGATCAGTTGGCTTCACATTGTTAAAACGTCCTGGCAGGAGGTACCAGGGAGCACTGAGGCTGCAGAGCAGCAATCCAGCCCATCCAGCTGTGATGGAGGCATACACAGCCTAGATCAGTTCTCAGGGGAAAAGAAAATTTGCTTTGCCCTCAGTGAATAATTCAACTAAGCAGTTTTGCTTTGGGCAACTTGTGGAAGTAGTGGATCTTCATGTATAAAATGGCATTTCTGAAAGCTTTACCCATTAATTTAACATGTCTTAGCTCAATTTCAGCCTTTCTTATACAGTACAGTTCATCTTCTGCTTTGCTAGATAARGCTGACACATTCCTCCATGGTGCGAAGTGAACCAGCTACTGCAGGTCTCAATAAYGCTTCTGTGGAAAAGCAAAAGAGGATCTTTAGAATAGCAAAAATGGTTGTACAGGATTTCCAATATCCTCAGCAATTCCTTTTTCCTTTCTGAGCTATGCAGTATTCATTTATGGGATGGAAAGATTTTGTAAGAGCCATTTAAATATAAGATTATAATAGATATTCATAACTCCTTTTGCAAGCTTTTTTGGAAATGTACGGAAAAACAATAAAAGTATTTCAGGGCTTCCTTTCTATATACACTTCTAGGCATATTAGTGTTTGTGAAAAGCAAGGGAAAAGGAGACTGAATAATCATGAGTGACAGTGATGTAATATAACGCTAGTTCAAGTTGCACTTTGTAGCTATGCCAGTATATTATAATGCATAAAATGTGCATGGCTGTAGCAAATAAGCTAGGGCTTGTACTTAKATAAATGGAAGTTGTTTCTTAGCGAAGTTTGTTCAGCCTGAAGAAGAGAAGGCTGAGGGGGACTCTAATCAGTGTCTATAAATATCTCAAGGGAGAGAGTGAGGAGGATGGGGCAGCCTCTTTTCCATGGTGCCACTGATAGGACTAAAGGAAATGGCCACAAACTGAAACACCACAAATTCCATAGGAACCTAAGGAAAAATTTCTTAACAGTGAGGGTGACAGAGCCCTGGAACAGGCTGCCCAGAGAGGTTGTGGAGTCTCCTTCTTTGGAGATCTTTAAAACC